ATTTATAACTGTAAATGGCCTCTAAGTGTTCAAGTGAAAGGAAGAATACACATCTCTCACTTTAAATAAAAAAACAGATGCGGTCCTGGCTGGTGTAGCTCAGTGGATTGAGTATGGGCCTGTGAAGCAAAGAGTTACTGGTTCGATTCCCAGTCAGGGCACATGCCTGGGTTGCAGGCCAGGTCCCCAATAGGGGACCCACTAAAGGCAACCATACATTGGATATTCTCTCCCTCTCTCCTTCCCTTCCCCTCTAAAGATAAATAAATAAAATCTTTAAAAAAAAGAAAAACTTAAAAAAAAATCCAGATGTGATGAAGCTTAGTGAGGGGAAGCATGTGGAAAGCATAGATGGACCGAAGGCTGGGCTCTAGTGTCAGCAGTGTTGGGAGCGCAGAGGGAAAGCTCTGGAAGGAAATGAAAACACGAATGTAAGAAAGCAAAGCAGTCTTACTGCCAATATAGAGAAAGTTTTCGTGGTCCAGATAGAAGATCAGACCAGCCACAACATTCCTTAAGCCACCATCTTATCCAGAGCAAGGCCCTCTCTTCAATCCTCTGAAGACTGAGAGTTGAGAAAACTTCAGAAGAAAAGTTTGAAACTAGCAGAAGCTGGTTTGTGATGTTTAAGGAAAGACGCCATCTCCAACATAACATAAAAGTGTTTACTCTGAAGCAGCTGTGGCTGATTTAAGAAGATGCAGCACGTTAGCTAGAAGATCTAGCTAAGTTAGTTAAAGAGGCTGGCGACCCTAAACAACAGATTTTCAGTGTAGATGAAATAGCCATATATTAGAAGGAGATGCTAACTAGGACTTTTGTAGCTAGAGAGAAGTCAGAGCCTGGCCTCAAAGCTTCAGGGGACAGGCTGACTCTTACTAGGGGCTAATGCAGCTGATGAGTTTACATTGAAGCCAGTGCTGATAATGCTGTTCTGGAGATCCTAGGGCCAGGGCCCTTAAGAATTATGTTAAATCTACTCTGCTTGTACTCTACAAATGGAATGACAAAGCCAGGGTGACAGCACATTTGTTTATCTTGGCTCACTGAATATTTTAAGCCCACTGTTGAGACCTATTGCTCAGAAAAAAAAGATTCTTTTCAAAATATTACTGCTCAGTGACAATGCACTCAATTACCCAAGAGCTCTGATGGAGACGTGCAGCGAGATTAATGTTGTTTCCATGCTTACCAACACAACATCCATTCTGCAGCCCTTGGATCAAGGAGTCATTTGGACTTTCAAGTCTCATTATTTAAGCAGTGCATTTGGTAAGGCTGTAGCTGCTGTAGACAGTGATTCCTATCCACAGCATAAATTGAAAACTTTCTGGAAAGGATTCATCATTCTAGATGCCAGTAAGGACGTAGGTGATTCATGGGAAGAGATCAAAATATTCATATTAACAGGAGTTTGGAAGAAGTTGATTTCAACCCTCATGGATAAACTACTAGGGTTCAAAACCTAGTGGAGGAAGTAACTGCAGATGTGGTAGAAATAACAAGAGAACTAGAATCAGAAGTGGAGCCTGAAGATGCAGTCTCTTGACAGATGATTTGTTTCTCAAGGATGAGCAGAGAAAGTGGTTGCTGAGATAGAATCTACTCTTGGTGACAACAAAGGATTTCGAATATTACATAAACTTAGTTGATAAGCAATTGTAGGGTTTAAGGGGGTTGACTCCAATTTTGAAAGATGTTCTACTGTGGGTAAAATGCTGGCAATTAGTATCTCATGCTACAGAGAAATAATTGATGAGAGGAAGAATCGGTTGTTGCTGCATACTTCATTGTTGTCTTAAAAAATTGCAAGAGTTTCCCCACCCCTCAGCAGTCACTATTCTAGTCAATCAGCAAGTCCCTCTACCAGCAAAAAGGATTATGGCTTACGAAGGCTCAGATGATGGTTAGCATTTTTTAGCAAAATATAACTTTTATATTATTGGGGAACCAAAAAGGTCACGTGACAGTGTATCACTGTGTTGTGATCTGGAACCAACCCGCAATATCTCTGAGGCATGTGCCTGTGAGCACCTTTTTAACTGCTGCTCACACCACAACCTCTGACGTGGCTGGGAGCCACCACATAACCCTTTCCAATTACAGCCCCTGCATTCCCCCAAAGACAACTACTGTCCTGACTTTATGGGAGTTATTTTCTTGCTTTTCTTTATTACTTCCCACTTGTATTTGCATCCGCAACACTATAGTTTAATCTTGCCTGTCTCTGAACTTTTTATAGGTGGAATTATTACACTGCATTCTTTTGTTCTTTCATTCAGTATTTTGTTTTTAAGAATCTATATGGTTGTGCATGGCTGTAGTTGGCTCATTTTTTATTTTATAAAGTCCATGTATTGAGTACACTGACCGTAGATTGATTCTATTGATGATGGGCACTTTGGTCATTCATAGCCCACGTCAGATGGCGCTGCCATTAACACACGGGTATGAGTTTTGATGTGTACAGACTGTACTTCTCTAGGGAATCTGCCCCGAGGGCTGACATTGCTGGGTCATAGGATGTTTATCTTCAACTGTACCAGATAATGCCAAAGTCCAGTCTCATGTGGTTGGATTCATTTTCAGTGTACCCATTTTACATCCTCACCAACACTGCTTGGTATTGCTAAATTTACATTTTAGCTGTTCTCAAAGACGTGATGATACCTCATTGTGGTTTTAATATGCATGAGTATCTTCCTCATCCTTATGGTGAACACCTTTTAATGTGAATGTTGGTTTTTCGGATGTCCTCTTTGGTGTGGTGCCTAATTCACATCTGCCTATTTTTCTTCTGTGTTTTAATTTTTTTTACTCATTTATATGGTCTAGATCAGGGGTGTCAAACTCATTTTCATCAGGGGCCATACCAGCCTGGGGGTTGCCTTCAAAGGGCCAAATGTAATTTCAACTCCTTAACAGTTGAGGAGTAGTTACGTTTATACAGTCCTAAAATTATTTTAGCCCTGTGAAGGCAGCCGTGAGGCTGATGTGGCCCCTGGTGTAGATGTAAGTTCTCTCCAACTCCATAGATAACTCATCCTTCTTTATTCCATTCATGGTGTCTTTTGCTGAACAGAGGATCTTAATATAGTTCAGTTCATTAATCTTCTTTTTGAAGCATTATTTTTTAAGTTTATTATATTTAAACACATTCTGTGTAAGTCTCAGAAATAGAAGTGTTTGCTTAAAGGCATATACATTTTATTTTTTCAGACTTTCGCCTACAGTTCACTTTCCCATTGGTCGTGTCTGAACCTTTCAACACCATTTTCACTCCCACCAACAGTGTATGCACGGTTTCCTCACACTTTCGCCAGAACCAGAGCCTTGGGGTCACTTGCGCCAACATAGTTGACCTCTGTTCACTAATTAGTGTTTACCTTAGTTTACCTGTGGGGCCAGAGAGAAATTTGTTGCATCAGTTCAAGAATGTAGCAGTTAATAAACATACTGTATTTTTCAGTCATAAGACGCCCCTAGGTTTTAGAGGAGGAAAATAAGGGAAAATTTTTTTTGAAGCAAAAAATCTAAAATACTTAATAACATAAATAACATAACATTTCACCAGTACAAATATAAACAGAACTCAACAGCGGAATTAACGGCCATTATTCCTTCCAAATTTGTGGGGGGGGGGTGGTGGCGGATAACTACATCTTATTGTCCAAAACATGAGGTAATTGTGGGCTTAATATTAAAACTTTTTTTTTAGCTTTTGATTCTGAGGAGCATTTCCAGCCAGTAGGGAAAAGAGATAAAGATAGGAAAAGCCATTTGCCATTTTATTTTTTATTAATTGAAGCCTGATTTGAGCTTACATTAGTGAAAATATATTGACGAAAACTTAATAAAGGGACTCATGAAGTTGATGAATTATGTATTTGTGGATTTCCTTATAAACTTCTGATATACCTATAAGAGGGAAAACCATGATTTTACCTACCCTCTTCACATATTTTTATTCAAAGAAGGGGACATTCCGTCCCAAATGATCTCTGCTCCTCTTCTCTCTAAACTCCAGTATTCATCCATACTCCTTCCTAGTATTGAGGTGTGAGGTAGCTGCCGAGTTTTCCTTGGGAAGGGTGGAATTTAATTCTGGGACTCCGCAGCAGCACCTGTTGGAAGAAGCATTTACTGGATGAAAGCTCGGAACAGAGCCCTCTGCGCTCCGGCTTCCTTCCCACGGCCTCACTGCGGTTTGGGTCTTCATCATTTTCACTTCCATCATAATCTGACTCTTCTTCCTGCCCCCAGACTTCCCGTGCTTAACAGAATGAAATTCCTAAAACTAATCATTCCCCTGACTATAGAGACTCCAGAACCCTCAAAATCTTAATCCCCCAGCACACAGTGTCTTATCTGCCCTCTTGCTAGAGAGATCTCGAGCCTCCTCACATACCCAAATCCCCACATACCTACCGAAATTCGAGGTTTCTTTGAGTTTGGAATGCTCTTCTACATTGCTCATCTCATTTATCTAGAACTCCCTCCTTTCACACCACCGCCAGCCAATTAGCCTACAATAATGTCTTTTGTTTGTTAATTAAAATTTTTTTGAGCTAACATCTTTTAAAACCTGGCTCCTTACTTTCTGTCCTCCATGTCCTCTTCCCTCAAACCTAGTGACTTAGATGCCTTCTCCTCGCAGTTCCTTTTCCCCGTGCGCCTCACTGTGCCTCGTATGTGGATTTGATTTTCTCCCCTACTCCGTTGTGCCCCTTGAGGGCAGGTTCCTGTTTCCCACTCCCAGTAACTATCTCCCCCCACCCCCCACCAAACTAGCATGGTATAACTTACAGGAGGCACCTCCTAAATATTAAATGAATGATTGGGTGCAAAGTTTTATCTAACTTTCTTGATACATGTGTGAAAAGAACTTGCTGAGAAAGGTTGGTTAGAAGGGAGAAGCAGTGTACACATTTAGAGGTGACTGCTGAGCTTGGAGGATTTTGCAGGGTTTTGCTCACCTGAGTTTCCCTTGGCCGTCACAGAAGGATGCCCTGCAGTGGTCTCGCAGTCCAGCTGCAGTGGAGGGAGAAGAGCCAGAGGACACAGCTGACGTGGAAAGCTGTGGGTCTAATGAAACCAGCACTGTGAGTGGTGAAAATGATGGTAAGTGCCCTTAACAAGGTGGATGAAGAGCCACAAGCAGTTGCTAAGGACTAACTTATTTCCTTCCCTTCCAGTGTCACTTGATGAAACATCTTCGAATGCATCCTGCTCTATGGAATCTCAGGGTCGGCCTCTTTCCAATCCCAGGGACAGCTACAGAGCTTCCTCCCAGGTAGGGAGGGGAGTTGGTGGCCAGGCTGGGGGATGAGTGAGGCCAGGCACAGACACGACTCTTCCCTCCTGCGGTTCACTGTGGGCGTGTTTGCAGAGTAGAGGAAATCAGTTTGGTCTCCACCTGTTAGTGCCCTTTAAAAGTGGGTCATAGGAAAAGTGGGTCATAGGTCTGAGAGCAGTGACTCGTTTTTTTCTTTACCATGGCTGGATAATGCAGGGAGAAGTAGAGCACAGTGCAGAGTGGGGAGAACGTGAGCCTGGAAGTCAGTGGTTTGAATGATGGCCCTTTCACTCACTAGCTTTGGGTCTTTGGGCCGGATTCCTTACCTGTAAAATGGGGATAATGATAGATTCTTTTCAGCTTGGGTGAGGCGTGGTACAGGGCCAGCACCTGGCCCGGTAACAGTCAGTGCTGCTGTCTGCATTATCTGCCCACGCTGGTCGTATACAAACTCAGTTTTACAAGATAGTGGAGACGCAGTTGAGGGGGACTGCTGCTGTGGCCCTGCAGGTGGCTCAGGCTCTTTCTGTATTCCCTCTGGGAACGTAGGCAAACAAGCAGAAGAAAAAGACCGGGGTGATGCTGCCTCGAGTTGTCCTGACTCCTCTGAAGGTAAACGGGGCCCACGTGGAATCTGCATCAGGTATGTGTAAACTCTTGATTGCGGTGCTCCTTCCCAGTCCCGGCACCCGCCTCGCTCTGGCAGCAGTCTCTGACCTCTAGGTAGTGCGATGCCAGTAGTCAGGAGCCCCTCCTCGGGCAGACGGCACGCTGTGGTAACGAGACCTGCCCAAGGGGCCAGTGCTGGGCTCTGCTGTGCCCTCCCATTTGCCTCACAGGGAGGTTGTGAGGCTCCAGTGAAGGAATGTGCAATGCAGATGCTCATAAAAGGTGCAGTGCTGTGCACAGAGACAGCAGTTCGGCATTCTCACGTGGTATTTTAAAGCCAGCCCATCGGGCGTTGAGCTCTCACAGCCCAAGGCTGGGCCATGGAAGCACCCAGTGTTGCAGGCAGCATCTCGGGGAGAGCTGGGAGAAGTGAGCTTGTCTGGGAGACATGGGCATGGCGAGTGATACTTTTGACCAGTGGAATGCTGTGCCTTCAGGGTTCTCGGGCCGCCACGCCGATGGCGAGAGTGGCAGCCCATCCAGCAGCAGCAGCGGCTCTCTGGCCCTGGGCAGCGCTGCTATTCGTGGCCAGGCCGAGGTTGCCCGGGACGCCGCCCCGCTCCTGAGAGGCTTCCGGAAGCCAGCCACAGGTGAGTGGCTTGGCACTCATTTTTCTGCCTGTAAAGGGGGCCCCGCAGGCCAAGTGACATGAAATCTACTCTGTTTAGTAGTTTGTCTTGGGTAGCCCTCTATTTTTTGTTTGTTTCTACCTTGCATTTTGCCTATTCCACATGTAGATCTTCTCTGCTAGACTGAGAGAGAACTCCTTGTGGGCAGAGGTGGTGCCACATTGCTCCTTGTCTGTCCCTGTAGGGCCCAGGCTGTGCCTGCCTTGATGGCACTGTTCAGTCAGTGTTTGAGGGAGCGAAAACTCCTTCTGAGCTTCTCAGTGAAGAATTCCAACACCAGTTTTCTGTCTTTGATAACGAATGTCCTGCCACATGTGTTCTCAGCAGTTTAGTCTCTGTCAGGTGCCCCTTCTACAACCCCGTCAGCATGTTGAATGGAAGCCTGAGTTGACTCGGGAAGATGCAAACACGTTCAGTAGTGTGCACCTCCCACACCCTGTAGGGCTCCTGGCAAGGCTGGTATGCGGTTGGCTCTTTCAGGATTTATATCTCGAAGCCCACGTGCAGGCTTTTTGTAAGTGGGTCACAAGAAACCATTAAGAGGACTTGTTTTGGCTTGTGAAAATTAGAATAAAACATTGCCCAAGTGGGAAGTAAGTCTGCTTTTCCAGCTGATCAGCATTGCTAAATCTGAGGTCTCACTGGTCTCTATTCCAAGTGATTTTTTTTAATAGTAAAAGTAACATTTGCTGAGGCTTTTGTGAGAAGTACTGACATTTTATTGGGCTTTAAACAACTCTTAGTACCTTCCTGCATAGAGGTCATACCTCTCAGTGCATTTACAACGAGGCTTCTGCAGATTTGCCCATAGTATGCTCACTCGATCTGTTTTAGACAACTTCCATCATTTCACCAGCTGACTTTTGGAGCCTGTTCTCCAGCTTAGGAGGGAGGGTCAGAGCCTGCTCCCTGCCTTGTTCTCTGTGGGATGAGTGTCCTCTTCAGGCTGTGGCACAGCCTGGTGCAGTCTTGTCTGAGAGGAGGCGAGCCCAAGTGCTCTCCCAGGTTCGATGGCAATGGAAAGAGTAACTGCAACATGCAGGTCTGGGCGGACTGGTAGTTGAGCATATTATGTGCTAATAAGTTCTGGGTGGCTCGGTTGTTGTCACCAGAGATCTTTCCAATCAGCATTTGCTTTTTTGCTTTAAAAAGCTGAAAATCTACACCTTGCTTTTTACTACTTCAAAAATCACAGGTCAAATGAAGCGCAACAGAGGGGAAGAAATAGATTTTGAGACACCTGGGTCCATTCTCGTCAACACCAACCTCCGGGCCCTGATAAACTCTCGGACCTTCCACGCCCTGCCATCCCACTTCCAGCAGCAACTCCTCTTCCTGCTGCCGGAAGTGGACAGACAGGTACGGATAGGTAGCCTCCTCTTTGCTTCTCTCTGGGCTCCTGTTGTCTTTGTAAGTTTTTCATTTATTGGATTATTTGCCTGATCCTTCTAGGTGGGGACAGATGGCCTGCTGCGTCTCAGCAGCAGTGCACTGAACAATGAGTTTTTCACCCACGCGGCCCAGAGCTGGCGGGAGCGCCTGGCTGATGGTGAGTAGAGGTTCTCATCTCTGATGGCTTGAGAGGTGCCTGCCGTGGGTGGTGTCACTGGTCTCCTGGTATTTAAAACTCGGACACTCATTTTCAACAATCTTTTTCCCCCCAAGGGATATTTAGTATAAGGCAGGCTTTCCTCATAATACTGATAAATGTGGCAGGTGTCAGTGTGCTCCGTAGCTCTAAAGAAGGCTCAGGGTATTGGGGCTTTCACTGCTTTGTGTGTGTGTGTATCCATTTGCATTGCCTCTTCATTATTAAAACTGTCCAGTCCTTTTTTTTTCCAGTAAGCATATGGTGGTGTCTGGGTGGGTGGAAGAAAGTGCACCATGGCATTGAACTTCACATTAATCTTCATTAGATGCTCTAATATTTTAGACATCGTCACTTGGAGTGATTGTTAGCTTCTCCTAATGTAATTTTGTGGGGAAGCAACAAGGGGAGTGTCTTGGGAGGTCCCTGAGACACCTTCCAGGTTCATTGATTCATTAGGAGGACTCATAACGCTCAGTATAGTTGTCTTCATGACGACATGTTCTATAGTTCATTACAGCAAAAGAATGCAGAACAAAATTAGCAAAGGGAAAAGGCGACTGGGGTAAAGTCCAGGGAAACCAGGAGCAAACTTCCAAGGTCCTCTCCCAGTGGGGTCTCACAGGATGTGCTCAATTCCCCCACCAACGAGTTGTGACAACACGTGTGAATTGTTGTCTACCAGGCAAGCTTATTGAAGACTTGGTGCCCAGGGTTTTATTGGGAGCTAATCATGTAGCATGCTTGTGCCTGGCGCATACCCAAATTCCAGAGTCCCCAAAAGGAAGCAGGTGCTTGTCATAAACTGTCTTGTTTACAGAAACAGTTTAGGCGCAGGGAGCCATTCGTATCAGTGAGGGGGCGGGAACCCTCCCCACATCCAGGTTCCCAGATATCAGCCAAGGGCATGCAGTCAGGCCTGCCAGGTTAACTTTTTTCTGCGCAGGAAGTAAGAATGGTTCTTTTGTTCGGTTGGTTTTTGATTTGCTTTTTTGAACAGTGTGTTGCTTGCTGTTTGATGACTAATCACCCTAGGGAAGAATGAACTTCCCTTGTAACAGGCATGTTAGTTCTGTCCTGAGTGAGAGCATGATGTTAGAGATTCTTGGGAGGGAACCAGCGTGAAGATATCGAGGGTAAAAAAAAAATCTCAACTCACCAAAATCACTGAAAACTGAGAAGGTAGAGCTGCTTTCTGTCAGACGCACACACATCCTGAGTGCATGTGCTCAGAAAGTGCTACTTCTCTCCAGGTGAATTCACTCATGAGATGCAAGTCAGGATACGACAGGAAATGGAGAAGGAGAAGAAGGTGGAACAGTGGAAAGAGAAATTCTTTGAGGACTACTATGGACAGAAGTAAGGCACTTGGTTGCTGTGAGTGTTGGTCCAGCTTTTGGGGGATAAAGACACAAAGTCATGTGTATTTCTGGGTTGGATGGGAATGTGGAGGTCGCGGTGACTTGGCTCATGTGGCCTAATGCCATCCAAAGGGAAGCTACCAGGGGTTTTCCTGTGGTTAGTGCTGTGCACTGCAGATGTATTTTGTTCCGAGATAGCTAATATCTGGGTTCGTGTCATTCATAGAAGGAAAATAGACATGGCTCCTCTGTCCTGTAATTGATGGTGTGCATTTGGTTCGCAGATTGGGTTTGACCAGAGAAGAGTTGTTGCAGCAGAATGTGGGCCAAGAGGAGGCTGGAATCAAGAGTGACTTGCGTGTCTCAGGTGAATCAGCAAGGCCACAGCGTGGTCCGGCCACCCGGCAGCGAGACGGGCATTTCAAGAAACGTTCTCGGCCAGATCTCCGAACCAGAGCTAGAAGGAATCTGTACAAAAAACAGGAGCTAGACCAAGGAGGGGTTATAAAAGGTGCACAATTGGCGGCACCAGACACACACCCCTGCAAGGATGGGGGGGCTGAGACTGACTCGGCAGGGGCGGGCAGTCCCCACCTGCCCGGCACATCCTCTGCAGCCCCCGACCCCGAGGGTCCCAGATTTGCGGTGGAAACTGGGGCTTCTCGGATCCAGGCCGATCCAGACAACCTGGCACGGGCCTCTGCCTCTCCAGACAGAATTCCCAGCTTGCACCAGGAGACTGTTGATCAGGAACCTAAGGATCAGAAGAGGAAGTCCTTTGAGGAGGCAGCCTCTGCGTCCTTTCCCGAAAAGAAGCCCCGGCTTGAAGACCGTCAGTCCTTTCGTAACACAATTGAAAGTGTTCACTCCGAAAAGCCACAGCCCACCAAAGAGGAGCCCAAAGTCCCGCCTATCCGGGTAGGAGGCTCCTTCCCCTGGAGGGCCAGGAGATTTGTGGAGCCCCTTCGTGGGGCCCTTGTGTTGATTATGTGGGCGTGTAGAGCCCTCTACAAGGGAGCCATTCCTGAGACCGATTTGGTGATCAGGGGAATGAGGTTCTGTTCTGCTGCTCTTGAGTGTTCACTCTGCTGAAGTTACCTCTAGAGATCAGTCTCCTGTGGGGTTTTGAACTTGTTTATTAGGTGGTGGTAGATTCTTTGTATAGTGGCTCGCATGGTCCCAGCAGAAAGTAAATTTAGAAGTGGAGCATGTAACAGCCTCTGAGCAGAACCTTCTTGGAATGGTGTGGTATTGTGGACAGGCGCTTGACCATGATGATTTAATTTTTAAGGAAAATGATTTGATCGTCTAGGCCATAGCCCCTAAACTGTTAGAACCCTAATTTAGCTTTACAGTGCTTAGGTCTAAACACCCAGTCAATTAAAACTGATTTCTGATTCTTCTCTTGCAGATACAACTTTCACGTATCAAACCACCCTGGGTGGTTAAAGGTCAGCCCACTTACCAGATATGCCCCCGCATTGTCCCCATCGCGGAGTCCTCCTACCGGGGCTGGACTGGCGCCAGGACCCTCGCAGACATTAAAGCCCGTGCTCTGCAGGTCCGAGGGGCGAGAGGCCACCACTGCCATCGAGAGGCGGCCACTACTGCCATCGGAGGGGGGGGTGGCCCGGGTGGAGGTGGCGGCAGGGCCACCGATGAGGGAGGTGGCAGAGGCGGCAGCAGTGGTGATGGTGGTGAGGCCTGTGGCCGCCCTGAGCTCAGGGGAGCCCCCAGAACCACTGGAGAGTGTGCGTCAGATCTACAGCGAACACAACTACTGCCGCCTTGTCCTCTGAACGAGGAGCACACCCCGGCTGGAACCGCCACGCCTAGAGCCAGGAGGGAGCACGCGGCCTCTCTCAGGGGGGAGGAGAGCTGCCCACTGCAGAGGGCGCCAGGCACAAGCGGCCCGGAAGACGCCTCCCAGCTCCCCATTGCCCCCACCGGGGACCAGCCGTGCCAGGCTCTGCCCCCATATTCCTCCAAGACCCCAGCACCTGAGAGAGCAGTTGAGCAGCCTCCGTTGCATTTAGATGTTAGAACTGAATGTGAGTCTGGTACCACTTCTTGGGAAAGGGATAATGAGGAGCAAGGACCCGCTGTCCCCACCAACGGCGGTCCTGTTCAGTCTTTGGTGGGGGATGTTGTATTAGAAGATAGAACTGGCCAGGCTCTGGACAGTGACAGTAACGCAACCATGAAGGATCCTGTGAATGTGACCCCCAGCTGTACCCCTGAATCATCATTGGCTGGCTGCCTAGAGGACAGACAATCTGATGATGAGTTAGGACTTGGTGAGTCATGCCCACCTGTGAGGGAAAGTGCTACTAGAAAAGAAGACTTGAAAACCGAGGCCCTCGTCTCTGATGGTGCTGCTCTTTGCATGCCTGGCCTGTCACAGGAGGAGGCAGTGGGACAGCCTAAACCAGGTTCCAAAGAGGACATTCCACCTGTTGAGCCCCGGGTCGGAGAGGAGTGGGACAAGGCAACTCCCCTCATTCCTGCATTGCCTGAGGGGTTGACAGCCGAAGAGGGTCTAGATCTGCCTAACTGTCCTTCACTCTGGGCAGTGACATCTCGGGGCTGCGTTGACAGCACAGGCAACTGCAAACAGGTGGATGGTGACAAGCTGAAAGTCAATGGAGACTCTGAAGCACTGAGTCCTCACGGCGAGTCCACAGACACAGCCTCTGACTTTGAAGGCCACCTTTCTGAGGAGAGCAGCGAGGCCGACCCTAGTGAAGCCACGGTGATGAAGAGATCCTCAGTGGTGGACAAGGAGGAGAAACACGATTGGGACCGCCCTGCCATTCTCTCCAAGGTGAACGGTGACCAGAGTCTGGTTACAAGGACAGACAGGATTGCTGCTCCTCAGAGCTGGGTGTCTCGTGTATGTGCGATTCCTCAGAAGACCCCAGATTCCCTGCTGCTGGCCAGTACCGGGTATCAGCCGAGACCTGCACCCCTGGGCAGGCCCGGGTCCTCAGTGGAGGCCGCTAACCCGCTCGTAATGCAGTTGCTGCAGGGCAGCTTGCCCCTGGAGAAGGTTCTTCCTCCAGCCCTCTCTGGCAGCAAACCCGAAGGCCCACGACTCCCGCTTGCAAAAGAGCAGCAGATGGAATCTCTGCGAGATGCTGGGAGCAGCCCTGACAGCCGTGAGGCAAACACTGGTCTTGCCAGGCTGGAGACCACCCAGGCTCCAGGAACGCCCCAAAAGATTTCCAAGAAGGTCCCAAGTTCAGACTCCCTGTATCCAGTGACAAATCTGACGGCCGCCTTTGGGAAAGTAGAAGTGGATTCCAAAGAGCAGTTCTCTCCTTTCAGTTTTGAAGAACAGAAGGAAGGCCGTGAGCTGCCCCAGTGCAGTAATTCAAATGCTGTCCCAGGCAAAAGTCCAGGAAATCTCACTACCTCGAGAACCCCTTGTTTCTCATCTCCAAATGTGGTCTCCGTGGGTCCTGATCAGATAGGTCGGGCCCTGGGTGATCAGAACAGTGCCGGAGGCCAAGGGAAGAAGCTCTTTGGCTCTAGGAACCTGGCGGCAGCCCTTCAGTGCCCTCGGCCTGTGGAGCCAACACCGCTGCCCGCTGATGCCCCCCCTGGTTTTCCCAGTAGGAAGTTGGGGACAAGTAAAATCTCTGTGTCTGATGGAGTGCAGACTGCCAGGGAGGACTGGGCTCCAAAGCCACCACCTGCCTCTGTTGGCAGCATCAAGAGTGAGAAGACTTTTGTGGGGGTGCCTCTCAAGGCGAACGCAGAGAACAGAAATGCAGCCGGACCTGGTCCTCGGGATCTGGTGGATCACTTGCAGGCAGTGCCCTTTGTCCTTGACCTGCCCTTCTGGAAATTGCCCCGAGAGCCTGGGAAAGGGCTCAGTCAGCCTCTGGAGCCTTCTTCTATCCCCTCCCAACTCAACATCAAACAGGCATTTTATGGGAAGCTATCCAAACTCCAGCTGAGTTCCACCAGCTTTAATTATTCCTCCAGCTCCCCAACCTTTCCCAAAGGCCTTGCTGGAAGTGTGGTGCAGCTGAGCCACAAAGCTAACTTCGGTGCGAGCCACAGTGCATCACTTTCCTTGCAGATGTTCACCGACAGCAGCACAGTGGAGAGCATCTCGCTCCAGTGTGCGTGCAGCCTGAAAGCCATGATCATGTGCCAGGGCTGTGGTGCATTCTGTCACGATGACTGTATTGGACCCTCAAAGCTCTGTGTATTGTGCCTTGTGGTGAGATAATAAATTATGGCCATTGGAAAAGTTGTATATTTAGTGTGTGTATTTTGATAATGATTGATCTTAAATCTGTATACAGAATATCACTGATATATAGACTGTCTCTTGAGGCAGGAGTGCTCTTGCCTCTCCCTGAAATTTATAGTGCTAAAGGCCCTCTCTGTCACTTACCAACCTTCCCGTCTTGTTGGAGGGGTTTCCCACAGGGCAACTCGTTGGGCTGCGCAAGCCCAACCGGCCAGCTGAGCCTTCGTGTAGTCAGAGCCTGGTGCGGCGAGGGGAGCCTGCCCGACCCCCAGAGGGACTTGAAACTGAAGAAGGAAGGTTGTGTTCTCCACGGAGGGAACTAACTTACCCAAACGTAGAATTGTCAGTCTTCCACTCCTCCCTCTCCTCCTCCTTTCCTTATGCTATTGGGGGAGCTGATGGCTGGGGAAGAACCAGCCCAGGGCTAAGGTAACTCCCTGCATTGCCCACCAGGGGGCTCAAGCACCTGCTGACCTCAGGGTCAAGGTTCATCCTGATGCCAATTGATGGAGCCCTTTTGACCTTTGGTTCTGTTGCTGAAGCAAATTTGGGACTTTGCTGTCTCATTACAATCCACTGGCCCATAAGAGCTTTTTGGAACCTCGAATAGACCTGCTTGGACAGTGGGGTCGGGCGTAAGGCTGTCTGTCTGAAAATGCCATCTGTAGACCTCGTGAGTCAGGTGTCCAGATGTGTGGCAGGTGAATGCCTCTGCCCGACACCCTCCTTGTCACTTTGGACTCATGGGAGCGGGCATCTCCACGCACCTCTGTATGTGAAAGTCATTTTACATTTCAAAGCAGTGTGTGTTTCTTATTTTTATATTTTTAACTATCCTTGGATGTATAAAGTGAATTTTTGGGCTTCTGTAAGTATGCTCTATGCACCTCTAATGTTTTATCATGTAATTTATATGTTGTACACAGTACTGGCCAATTTCTGTAAATGGATGTATTGTACAGAGAACATGAACGTCTCTCCCTTACTTCACGTCTTGGGCGTCATTGCATTAAAATGGTGTAATGGACTTTTCTCCAGCTGTGTCAGAGCCACTGCATGCTGTGCTGCCCGACCTGAGGGTGGAGTGAGTGAGTGACTTGTGATCTGCCAGGGTGGTCTGGTGCCTTGTCATGGGTCACCTGGTGGACCTGCTGTAGCCTGTTGAGCTGCAGTCGGCCTGCATGCCCGCTACTGAGAAAACGCGTCTTGCTCCTCACGTCTCTCCCCCAGTCTTCACTGGCTGTTCACTGCCGTGTGTGACAAATCACCACCACCAGTGTTAAGTGCTTCTGAATTCAAGGGTGAGTGTCCTGGGCAGCCCCCAGATGGGCCGTCTAGAGCCAGCTCCAGGGCCACCGCCTGTCAGCAGTACCTGGGCCTGTGCTCTCCTGGGGCCACGGGGCTCCTTTTGACATACTTTTGACAACAGGTTGGGGAAGAAACAGCCAGGCCTGCTGCCTGCCTCTCTCCTAACACATTTCTAACGAATAGATGTCTCCGTAGTTGTCTTTCCTCACCCTGCTTCCTGCCTTATTTCTTGTACCTCGACTTGTCGCAGAGTCGAGAGCCCTTGTTTTAACTTCAGTCTCCCTGTGTGAGCGCTTCTGTGTGAAGTACAAAATCGGTGTGACTGCAGCGGATCTCATTTCATCTGAAAGGTCTTTTTATTTTTTTCCTCCCGTTTCATCCAACGTGGCATTCTTGTCATCTGAAGCCTGAGTGAGAAGTTGGCAACGTGGTGGTGATTTAAATGCAGTATTGGCCAATGCAAGTTGTCAACTTCAAAAGTCTGTTTACCAAAGACAGGGAGCAGAGGCCCAAGTGTGTTTGATCCTCTCCTTCCTTCTGCTGTGACCTTTGGGGCCACACTAGGGTACAGTTGGAAACTGGTCTCCGTGGGGCTGCCCAGGGAAAGCACTGCTCTTGTATGTCTCTTGTGGTATTGGAAAAATAAACCTGTACAACCCGCGCTGTGGTCTCGGTCATCTTCTGCGGCTGCCCCACGGGGGTGGGGAGGAAGGTCAGGCTGGAGCGAAGAAACAGCATGAACGGGGCGAGTGCCGGCTCGCCCACGTGCCTCTGGGGGTGATGATGGTGTGAGGAGCACTTCTGTGTGGTGAGACCTAAAGGCACAACTTGGCAGTTACACGGGTCTGTAGACTCTGCGTGGTGTGGCAGACTTGCCCACGGTGTGCACTGGAAAGCAGAAATTGAAGTGATGAGGATGCTGATCTCAGTGGCCTCCATGCGGCTGAGGTGGCCCAAGAGCTTCCTAATGGCTGATGGTCTGTGGGGAGGGTGAGCAGTCCTGACCTTGAAAAGCCGTAAACACAGCGCCTCTGCGCTGCAGCGAGGGAGGAGTTGGCACACTGGGGTCTGACGCTGCTTAAGTGAGGCTGAGTGCGTGCCAGCCTGCAGGGGTTGACTTCTCAGTCCTCAGGCTTATCCGGAGCACTTAAATACATGATCTTGTGCTTGGCAGGATCTGAGTATATAAATATGCCAAAAGTTTACAAAATGATGGGAAGTGGAGATGAACTAAGAGAAGGGTCCATTAACTTGTTTCCTATAAACTGGAGAAAAATAGGCTTTGTGTGGTGGGACATCTTTGGGGGGGGCAGTTCAGGCTGCAGTTTTGTGGTTCTGCTGTTCCAGGTGCAGTGGAGAAGTTCTGGTTGGGCTCGGTGGTGACTGGGCAGCCGCCTGGTGGTGAGGATGTGTAGGTGTGTGTTTGTGTCACAGAATCTGTCCGTGCAGTCTGCAGGAGTTCAGGATCCATGAGGACCCAGAGGTGATCTCAGCAGGGAGGCAGAACGGTGTGATGGTTTAGAGGACAGGCCCTGCAGCCACCGCTGCTGTGGTTGGGTCACTCTGCCGCCCTGCCAACCTCGTTGCTGAAAGGAGACAGTAGTTCCTACTTTATCGAGTTGTTAGGGCCTTGCACGTAGGAAGTACTCCAGACTGTTAGCTTGCCCCAATCCAGACAACCACTACATAAGTTTGCAGTAGAAACCTGGAGGGCTCCTGTCAACTCACCTGCTTGACCCTCACCCTGCAGAGGAGCCATGGAGGTGCCGGCAACTAAGGGAATGTCTGGCTTATGGCCTCATACTGCAGTGTTGAATGCGCAACACAGTTTAGAGACCGTTAGGGGAGACATTTTACTTACCATCCAAAGGACGAGGAAACCGAATGTTTCAGAATATGAATGAAAATAATCTCTTGCCTGCTGAGGTGTTCGTTTGCTTCACGTCCACCCTGCTCTTGGGGGGTCGGGCCCTGCTTGAGAGGGGTGTGTGTGCTTCATAGAGTAGCCCTTCAACGTTGGGGGCCTCAGGGGGCCCAGCCTCTCCCTGCGCTGTGCCCTGAGAGGAGGTGGCACAGGCTGTGTTGTCCTTGGGTATAGGTGTCGTAAAGTGACAGGGTGAGATTTGTGGCCTTGGAGATTGAAGGTTGAAACCCAAGCTTGACAGTGCCCTTTGCTTCCTCTCATCTCTGCATCAATTTGAAAGCTTGGAGTGAACATCTCTACCATCTCTACCAAGAGATGTGCACAGAAGTGCTGTTTTTTTGTTTTTGTTTTTGTTTTTAAGTAACAACAGCTGTCAGTGCAGTGGCTCTTGGCCTTTCAGGGAACAGGCTCCTCCAGGAGCCTGATGGGAGGTCTCCGCCCTCCCTCTGCAGGAATCCGAGTGCACATGAGAGTTGAGTACTCTTTCAGATGGCGTGAGAGCTCTGTAGGCAGCTGGGGCCCGTCATTCCGGAGCCCCCTGACTGACGATAAAGCTAATCTGGGTTTATGTGGAAGATCAAGATGGGGAGAGGTGACTTTGCAAAGGATTCTTAGGTTTTCTGTAAGTACTAAGCTTCCTTAATACATTTCAAATTATTTTTAAAATTCAGTGACGTGCATGGTCTTCCCCATCCATCACCGAGTGAAGTGAAGGAAGGTCAGTGTTTCATCACTGTGTAAATTTGACTTCCCTCCTTGGTGGGGGAGGGGAGGGGGTGGGGGCGGGCATTCCCATTTGATGTTCTGTACCCTGTTATCAGCACTGGTCGGGAGCTCCATGAAGACGCCAGACGGGATCCAGCAGCACTTCTCTGTCCTCCAGCTTCTCGGAGCTGCAGTCTCTCCCCCGAGGTAAGCACTGTCCCACTTAACTGGCTCCGTCTGTGTGTTGCTGCTCTGGATTCTGGGTGCGTTGTCCCAGGTTGTAGGGTTTATGGTCCCATGGTGATTCTCAGTGGCAGTAGCTTCAGTAGGACAGATGTGTTTTCAAGGTAGTACTGAGGATTCACTGCTCGTGAGCGCCACGTGCGTGTGAAAAGAATGGGTGCCCAGGTGTCTGTGCTGCTGTCCTTACAACGCTTAGCCCCGGAGTGCATCTCTGGGTGCAGTGGCTTCAAACGGCCCCTCTCCTTTTGTTTACATACTTGGCAGCTGCACAGAATTTATATTTTAAAGAGATTCTTCTACTGTTCCAAAAACTAATGTTTTAAAACAGCCTTCATGTAGTGTCTGTGCGTAGCAGTTAAAACTTGTATTTTTGCATTTAGCTCATGTGGTCGAAACTTTTTAAACCTGTGACAGTGAGTTTTGTTCCTATGCATATTCCTGCGAGCTTTCTTTCAAAGTTTAACCTAAATGATATGCGTATAGGGTGAAAAACCGACAGTGCACAAGTAAACGTCTGTGAGGAGAGAGCCCTTTTGTTTCCTTCACGGTGGGATCTAGGGGTTTGGGCTGAGCAGGATGTCAAGGAGTGAAGGTTTGCGACCAGGGACGCAGCTTGCTGGTAGGTGAGTTTGGTTTCTGTCTGATGAAGAGCTGCGCGCTGGGGTGAAGGGAGTGGGAAGGGTGGTTTACAGGGAAAGAGCTTGATCAGTGGGTGGCTCACTGGCTGGATTTAGGGGAGGAGCCCCCCAGCCTTGCACCCCTGCCAACTCATCTGTAAGTGGAGGCGAGGGCACCTTCCTGGGAAGGGGACTGCGGCACTTCCACACAGTGCCCGCCAGCACTTGGTGAGTGCCAGCGAAGGAAATGACAAATTCATGAGTTTGAGGCAAGTTACCGAGGACCTCCTGTGTGCTAGCTTTATGGCAAGGCAAAAAGGCGAGAAAGCAGGTGCCAAACTGGATCTGGGAGGGAGAGGTGTGGCCGGCAGAGCCGCTGTTCAGAGGACACGGTGGAAATAAAGCATTCGGCTTGTTATTCAGTGTTTATTAAGTAGATTCAGTCTTATATATGATATACAGATTCAAAAGAAAAAGGATTCCACATACTTATGAAATCAGTGCATTTAGCAAGTAATACCATGGAGATAACAGCTCAATTAACAGCTCATTGGTCTTTTGTTAAGTGAGGGAAGAGGGAGTTGGCCTGTGCTAGTCATTCCACAAACAAAACAGTTTAGTTGCATCACACAGAGAAGAGGACACAGTCTAAGAATTAAAATATTAAGCCACATTTACTGGAAAAACTCACTATATAGAACACAAAGAATTTTTATAGAGCATTGAAGAGGAAGTCCTCACCTGCTTAGAAGAGCCACATTAAGTTGCATAGGTGCATATCTGTAAAAATATAATTTAGAGGTGAAGCCATTGATTAAGTACTAAAGAGTCACCTTTAAAAGTTGGTGCCATCCACTGTTTGCCGTAAGTGCCATACACTTATCGTCCGGAACCCCCCGCCCCTCCCCAGAGGCGATGTCTTGAACCCTGAAGAAGGGCGCTGGTGCCGTCTGCACTGGAGAGTCATAAAATCCCACCTCAGAGAGGGAACTCTCGATATTCCAAAAACCTGTCTGAGTTAAGCCAGAGGACTGATGACCTTGGGTTGTCCCTAAAGCCTGGGTGGCTTGACCTTGAAGGTCACAAGTCATCCTGACCTTCCCATCCCAGGCTGCCAGAACTGGGTCCATCCCACAGCTCTGCAGCGAAGTCCTGCTTTCACTGGACATCTGCCCACGTGGTCACCCACCGCCAGCCGAGGGAGGTCTCTTTTCTGACCCCTGCTTCTCAATGGACCATGTGGTAGACACACATGGGCTGCCTGGAGAATTTTCTGAGCTTATTAGAAAAGTGTTTTTCAGTAAATCTGACTTCCATGTTGTATAGGGTTTTCGTCTTTGTTTTTAGGTGGAAACATAGGTTAAAAAGTGAGAGGTTTTGTTTTGTGGCTTTGCTAAGCAGATGAGCTTAGTGAGGTGCACCTTCCCCCTCAAGAGCGAGTCTTGCAGAACACACAGGGACCGGGGCATCTGTACATGTAAACAGTACACTTTCACTGAGTCCAAAATTAGGAGCAAAAATACAAAGGTTCACATTGGTCTTAGGTAGATACAGGCGAAAAAAGATTGAGCTGTGTAGCCCAGAAACAACAAAAACAAAGTTTCTAAAGCACCACTAAATTATATAAAAATCAGACCATGGACGGATTGAAACTGGTATTCTGGTGAAATACTTTACTATCTTGTAAAAAGTTTTACAAAAAATTACAAATTAAATGTATCAACCCTCTGAGTTCAAAGCAGCATTTTGAAAATGAACTGGTAGTTAATCCTGTAACCACCCTGGAGTCGGAAGTGGCCCTTGGGAATAGGGATGGCTGGGATCCACCTGTTTGCAACCCTCTGAGACGCTCCGAGCCCCCACCCGCCCCCCGCTTCCGTGCTGTCTTGGATGTACACTGTCCATCTGTAAAAGGGTCGAGGGCAAGCGACTTCAGGTGCATCACACCTTTGCTGTTCTACTGGGTGACCTGCCACTGAGACCAGTCCCCCGTCTCTGGGTTCCGCCCTTCTCTCAGGATCAGCCCCCTGCAAAGACTGGAACTGGTGTGTTCTACTCTCACCTTTTAAACTTTGGATCCCAAATGACTAATTTGTGCCCTGAGGCCCTCCCTCCTTGAGAGTTTTAAGTGGTTGCGGGGCAGGGCTTCGGGAGAAGGCCATCTCTGGGGTGACGGTGGGGGTGAGGGTCAGCAGAACCAGCCCTTGGGTGCTCTCCGAGTAGCGAGGAGAGGGACGGGGTTGAAGCTGCATCTCGGAAAACAAAAACCAAACAGAACAAGTTCCCTGACCGAACTCGCTAATAGAATCCTGTTTCCACATAGTAACTTGCTCCTGATGCCACCATCTCCGGGGCTTCCGGCGGAGCTTCGGTGGGAAGGACCCCACCCCAGAACCCGTCCTGGAGGGGCTGCTGGCAGCCCCTGCGGACGCGCGCCATGGGCGCTCGCTCCTTTCCCTTTATGACCCATGGAACCTCCGCCCTTACTGCAGCAGCAGGTCGGCTGAAGGGGGTCAGTTAGGGCAGCCTGAACTCAGAAAAACGCGACTAGCTGTAGCTTGTGTGATCCTTAGACGTTGTCCCTTGTGTGGTGGCGGCGGGAGCTCCTTGCCCAGTCCTCCTCACTCCTGTCAAGAAAAGCTAACCATTCCTGTCTGGCTTGGGTACTGCCTCTGCGGGGCGGGGAGATGACATGTTAAGCAATTGATAACCAAGGATTCTAAGGCGGCGATTGTCTCTGCCAGTTTTTAACATTAAGATCTCACAAATTGCCTGGGGTAACGTTTTGCTAAAGATCTACTGATTACTTTGTCGTATTGTTCACACACAAAAATAAATATTTACACAAATTCAAATTCAGGGAGTGTACTGAGCAGGGGGTGGATGGACCGCGTGGATGGCAGGGGTGTGGGAGAGGCCTGGGGCACTGGAGTTTGTGCTGTGCTAAGGGGGAATTTTGGGTGTCCCGGCCCTGACCAGGGGCCTGCGGATGGGTCAGATGGAAGGCAGAGGTGGTGTGGTAGGATGGGGTGTGGAGGCCACTTGAGAGATTAAAAAAAGACCACCCCCAACCGCTAGGGGCTGGAAGTAAGCAGAGTGGGGCACCCTACCTCCGAGTTTCTGGACCCGGGGCAGGGCGGGACACCCACGCTGGAGCCCCATCTCCGGCCCTCCTGAGTGTGGTGTGCCACAGTGCCAGGAGGCAGCTGGCTGCAGAGAAGCTGGTTGGAGAAAGGGTGCCTGCTCTGGGGTCAGGTGGCTCTCAGTAGCCGCCCCAGGGTGTACTCGGCCCTGGCTCCCCTGGGGCCTCTTTGCTCTGAGGGAGGAAAGGCAACAGAGGGCTTCTGCCAGCTCTGGGCAGGGGCGGGCAGCAGAGGGCTGCTGTCATGGCTACGGAGTGTTGCACGGAGAGGCCCGGCGGGCCTTCTGAGGTCTGGGCAGATCCCTGGTTTTAGCAGCACTGGTAGGTATTGCACTGAGCAAGAGGAAGTGCCTTTTGGGAGGAAGGAAACCAGGCCAGCCTTAACTGTTTGCCTCTCTTCACACTCCAGGGGTTATGGGTTTCTTCCAGGACTGGTCCCTCTAGAAGGGCTGGTCTTAGGAGAACACAAGTGGCTTCTCAGTTGTTGACGGTCCCTTTATTTCAGCTATGGGGGCAGCGCATGGGAGCCCATGTCCGTCCAGGAGCTCACAACTGCTTTTCCTGTTGAGTGGCTGCCTGACAGCCAGGGGCTCACCCTGCAGAAGCCGGTTCTTCCCAGCAGGTGTCTGAGAGCCTTGGGTCTGTGAGAGGCTGGGTCAGCCAGACTCCCTGGGACCGAGGGCCAGGGCCCCGTGGAGCAGCTGCCGGCTCCCAGGGCACTGTCCTGTCTAGCAGCTGGGAGGGCCAGGGCTGGGTCCCTCTGTGGACTCCAGCTGTTCCTGCTACCCATCTGGACGACCTCCTAGGCAGCCACACTGGGGGGGAGGGGAGTTGAGAGACAGCCATTCAGACAGGCTCAGGGTGCGTCCTGGAAAAAGCCCCCGCTGGAGTGTGAGGTAGACTACTGGTGGCCATGGCTGGGGCTTCTGTGGAACAGTGTGCGGGGGCCGTGTGTTAAGGGTTTGCTTTGCAGTGGGTGTGGGTGAGGTCCTCCTGCCTGGTGGTACAGGATGCTCGGGGGACAGCCCGCCTGGCACCTGCCCCACCTCGGCCCCGCCCCACGGGCCCCGCCCACGCCAGTGCAGTGATATGGAATGTTAGGTCACAGGGAGACATCCTTCTGATCAGACAGACAGACTGGCAATCTGTACAAACACAACAGAATCCATGTTCAGAAAAATAAATTACTAAGGGGAGAGGAAGAAAGGGTCCACTTTGTTTTTCTCAATAAATATGCAATTCTGCTCACCTAAGACTTGAAAGGTAATTATCTGGGAGTGGGGTTCTAACATCAGGGTCCACGAAGATGATACTAAACAGAGCTGCGGCCCCAGCACCCTGCAGGGGAGCTCAGCCCTTTCAAAGCTGCCCCGTTGGCCTCTTCCAAGCAGGTCAGAGCACCCGTGTGGTGAGATTCCAAAAAAAAGTGTCCTTGTGCCCAAAGTCTCAGGTGCTTGGAGTGTGGCTAGAAACAGCTCTTTTGGATCCCACCTCTTTCACAAAGCAGAATGTCCCAACTGGTGAGGCAGGAAGCTGGGTCCGGGCAGGACAGCCCCCTTCCCTAGGGCAGTGCACTCCAGGGGCCGCTGGGGTCAGTTCTGCTGCAAAATGAGGTTTTCCAGTTCGTCCGCCGAGCGTAGCAGGAAGGCAGCGGACTCCCGGTAGCCAGCGATGAGCTGCCGCACGGCACTGATCTCCGTCGGGCTGAGCTGGGCGGTGGGCATGGTCCTGCTGGTGCTGTTGCTGGAGGGTGTGGGCGTGGGCGTGGTGGAGGCGGTGGAGGCCCCACCTTTCATGCTGAGGTCCGTGGGCCCTGTGGAAGGGGAGGGAGGGTGAGGCGGAGTGGACACCGTGCACGGCACCCGGGAGGTGCTGTCATCCTTTGTTGTCCTGGGGGCCTGCTCTGGGTCAGACACTTGGGCCTGAGACCCTGGTCTATCTTGACAGTTGTACTCTAGTGCCTAGAGTGTGGCCTGGCGCCAACATATGAGACTCGGGGTCGCTATTAGCTTTCAGGGTGGTCCTGGAAGGGCGGAAACCTGTTGTCACCGTGTGACAGATGGAGGAAACAGGCCTGGCGGTCGAGAGGTTTAACCAAGATCACATGTACACATGGTTCTGTATTCAGGGCAGGGTGACTTGGGACAAGGGCATGGGGTTTGGCACCAGGCGAGGAGCAGGGCTTCCTGGCACCGATCACACCTCTGCTTTCTAAGGACCATCAGGTGGACGCTGTCCCCCCGAACAGGCACGCAGCCGAGCTCTGGTCTCCAAGTGAGGGGGTGGCCTGCAAGCAAAGGAACTCCGACTCCCCAGCGTGACGGGCAGAGCTTCGATGGGAGCTGACGGCAGCCCGGGAAAGGGGCGTATCTGGTGGAAGCACAGGTGAGTGTGCAGTCCTCCCCGAAGAGCCTGCCGTGAGCAGAGGTGGTGGGCAGAGGGACGAGTGTGCAGTCCCCGGAGTGGAGCTGCAGAAGACCAGGGAAACACACACCCGTGCGTGTGTGTGCACAGGTGTGTGTGCTCAGAAAGGGGGGGTGGTGCTTCTGTCCAGCTGGAGAGAAGCAGGAAAGCCAAGCTGCCCTGCTGGGCTGTGGGGGCAGCCGAGGGAGAGGAGCTGGGAATGTTAAGCCCAGCTCTGAGGGGCCACGGCACCTTGGACCCCCGCCTTCGAGGGGAGGGTCCGTGCCAGGACAGGACTCAGAAGTGCCATGTCAAGAAACCCCTCTGCAGTGGAGACAGTGCGACGGCTTCCGAAACACCCTAGGGGCCCAGCAGGCCCTGTTTCCTCTCCGCCTTTTCCTAGCAGGTCTACAGGGTGGCCACTGGCTCTGGAGCCAGGCAGGCCTGGACTCAGGCCATTTAACGTCCCTGAGCCTAGGTCTCCCCCTGCACCACGAGGAGGCTGTTGTGGGCGGAGCCAGAGCGCACGGCAGGGGTCTCAACTTGCCCAGGCCCACATAGAAAGATGGGTGTCAGGCTTTCTGAATGGTCTCTCAGGAGACGTGGAAGCTCCTGGAATCAAACATTTTTGAGGTGTTCAGTAAGAAAACGGCCAAGAGGTGAAGATCTGGGGCTGCAGGAGCTGGCGTTTCCTCTCGAAGGCCAGCTCCGGCCCAACTGGGTGGGTCCTGGCACCTCTGAACGCCACCGCCTGAATGCAGAGGTCATCTTACATGTATCTTACGTGCTGCGTGAGGCTCTGCTCCCTTGTCAGCCGACTCCCCACCACCCCGAAGTCCTGAGAGCGGGCTCACTCACCGCGTTTACAGTGGCGGCTTTTGTGCCCGCGAGAGAGACAGACAAGCTGTTGTCACTGGGGACATCTAGCCCAGAAGTAACATCTTGAGAGAAATGATGGAAACTAGGCTGCTGCTAAGCGGAAGCTGGTGCAGACCCCAAATGGGGAAGGAAGTTGAAGTCTAAGATGGGACAGTTTGCCACATGGGGTTATTTCTCTCTGGAGAACACAGCCGTCAGGGAGGGGGTCCTGGGAGCTGGCTGAGGAACACCCTTGGAATTGTCATCAAGGGCGCAGTACATCTATTAGCATGGAAACCAGGAGAGAGGAGTGGGTCTGTGACTTGCTGGAAACCACAGCTGAGCAGGTCACTGTCACCCATGGTGGTGGCTCAGGGAGACAGGCTGGGGGGAGCACCCAGAGAGGAAGGGGGCATGGAGGGCAGCTCCCAGGCCCCTGCGGACAGTGCTGGACAATGGCAGAGGAGGGCTGGCGTTCCTGCCACGGTGGTAACAGGCCCTGTGCTTCCCCTCCCTCCACCCCCAAGTCCTGTCCTCTTCCCCTGTGCCCAGAGCTGCCCTCATCTCTCCTGGGTTTTCGCTGCAGACCAGGGAGGAGAATGTCCCTGTTTCCTGCAGCCGATCTGATCTGGAGTTGTCCTTGCTCAGGCTCCAGTTACAGGAGGACGCTCGGGTTGCCAGCCGGTGGGCGGGGGCGAGCGGAAGCATGTGCTGCCCCTCGCACCAGACCAGGCGGGGAGCGCCTGGTTCTAAGCTGACGCACGTCTCCAGACAGTGACAACCTGAGGAGCGGAGTGCGGTGCTCTGAGCTGCTCGGATGGCTGCCCAAGCCTGGTGCCAAAGGACAGAACAGTCACTTAGAGGGCCACCACGGGCCACACCGCCTGAGGTGAGGAGCGACCAAGCAGACCTGTCGTGACCTCAGCACCCACCTTCAAGGAACCAGGGTGCTCACACAGGAGACTGAGGCTCAGGGAGGTGCAGGGGCAGAGCCCGGGGCCTCCCTGGGAGCCTCTCCCGCAGGTGAGAACAGGGCGGGAGTGCGGCTGGTGGCCCCGTGCCCTCAAGCAGCAGGGACAGCCCCGCAGCTGCAGCCCTGAGACAGGTCCGCAGCCCGGCACCAGGCGGAGGCTCCGCACCATCCTGCTGCCGGGGAAGGGCTGGGCCCCAGCCTCCTGAAGAACAGTGAGGGGTTTAAGCCTCCCTGCCCCGGGGCCTGTCTTCACACACACCAGCAGGGTCCCCAGTAAGCAGGGCCATCAGATGGCTCTTTCTGGAAGGAAAGCAGCCTGCCTGGACAGCCATTCCACTGTCTCAGGGATTAGGGCCAGGCAGCCTCTCGTTTTTAGGCTAAGAGGCATTAGGAAGGGATGAGAAGTTAAGCCCAGGCAGGACTCTCCCAGGGCCCTGCACACACTTCCTGGTGGGGGGGCAGGTCAAGGTGAGTGGAGGGCACCTGGGCTTTGTGCCCAGTCCCTCCCTCGCTGCCCAGGGGCACCCGGGGGTCTCCTGCAGCCAAGGGCTTGAAAGGAATTCTTGGGCACGTTCAGCCAAGGCCTGATGCCAGGGTTCCCTGCCTGTGGGTGGTGGCTGCCTCCAAACAGCAGCGACCTGGTGACACCTCAGCGCTCTCCGTCCCTCTGACCCTCCCCACACAGAGCACACTGCTTCTGCCCGCCCCGTCCCCACATCATCACAGGGGCACATAGAGCACCATTCACAGCCGCCTCAAAATCTCTCGGTGCCTCCTCCTGCAGGACTCCCAAGGGCCAGGCCCAAGAGATCACCCCGGTCACCCCTGCCAGCTCCCTGAGGCCACGGGGCTGTTTCCCACCACTGGAACCTGCTGCTGCCCTGCCTTACCCACCCCGTCCTCAAGTGAGTGGGCAGGAGGTCTCCAGGCCTGACTCAGGGCAGCACTTAACGTTTTCCCATACTGGTCTCTGTCTAGTCGGCATCAGTTTCTTGGGAAGAGTTTGCGGGGAGCCCCTGGGCAATCACAGCCCAGACAACCTAGATGGGACAAGGGCGGAGGCCCTGCCTGGGAGCCTAAGAACCTTCACCTCAGAGGGTGAGTGCAGCTGGTGGCCCAGTGCCTGCTTCTGCCAGACGGGAGGTCCCGAACTGGGCCAGGCTGGACCAAATCCTGGCCCCGCCCATCACACTGAGCCTTGGTCAGGGTGGGTGAGAGTGTGGGGAGGATTCATCCTGGGGAAAGGGTGGGGCCTTGGCTGGACGGCACTCGGTGCTCAGCTCACAGTGGCAGTGAGGGTGAGCAGAACCAGAGCGAGGCCCCGCGGCGCAATGGGCGAAGCGGGCCACCGTGGAGCCCAGAGAGGAGAGCGTAGGCAGTTTGGCTTTAATCAGGGCAAGAGTTCCTTGGTTTCCTTTCAAGGACTGGCTGAGGTTATGAGATGGGGAGTCACTTTTCCCCTCCCCGAGGCTGCGGTTTCCCGCACTCACCGTTACTGTGATTTCCTGTTTGCAGGGAGGCAGGGGGCTGCAGGTTGCTGCCCAAGGCCCCGTAACCGCGGTAACTGTAGTTGAGGCCGCCATTGACATACACAGGGTCCTGGGAGTAGGAGGAGGCTGGCAGTGAGTAGGTGGAGTGGGTGATGGCTGAGGAGTCCCGGGAGTGCTGCTTGTCCAGGGCGATCGGCTCGTCCTGTGGAGGGGAGGGAGGCGCTGGGGAGCCAGGGGGCAGCAGGCCCTGTCCCTGGACGGGGTGGACGAAGACTGGCCCCAGAGCTCCTGGAACCCAGTGCTGCGTCCTGCAGCACTACTTCCTCTCTCCGGCCGCTTGGCCCAGGCCCTCCCTGCTCTGTGAATCTTCCTGTGGGGCAGATTGGATCTGTTTCTGCTCCACTGAAGACCCTCCCGGAGCCCTCGGGGCACGGGGTGAAGCCCGGATGCCCTTCCTGGGTCTGCAGGGCCTTGAGTGGCACGGGGAAGAGCCCGGCCACCATCACTGCTGCCCCCTCGGGTGCTCTGCTGCCCTCTGGGGACTGCTACCCCTGGTCCCTCTGCACCCGGGGCCCCAGTGTCTGGAATGGTCGACGTCCCCCAGCCTGGGAGCAACCCCATGAGAGTGGCTGGCGGGGAGCAGGTACCTGCGAGGGCTGGTAGATTTCCAGGCGCATCCTTTTAGCTGCCTTTCTCGTCTCGCTCTCACAGGCGGCGGCCAGGATGTTCTCAGCCATGGCCGAGGTCAGGTGGGGAGGCGTAGGTCTGGTCTGCGGGCAGGGTGGGGACAGAGTGGCGTCAGGTTCACACGGAGACCCTGTCCTAGTGGGGGCTGGGGCTGGGGTTCCGGCTTCGGCGCCATTATCTATGGAGCCGTGCCATCTTTCTGGACCTCAGCTCCCCACTCTGTGAAACGGGGACCATGGTGCCTGCTTCTGGGACACCAGGCCGGTGACAGGTAAATGGCCCGGGGGCCGCCCGACAGCCCTGGAGTGCAACTGGGGGGGCGGTGGCGGGCAGGAGGGGCTCACCATCTCCATGCCGTTCTTCTTCATGCGCCGGCAGGACTTGAGGTACGTGCGGATGCGCTTGCGGGCCCGCTCCTGGAACTCGGGGAACTGCCGGCTGCAGGACTCGATGATGGCCTGGATCTTCTCCTTGGGCTGCTTGGAGATGGGCACCATGCGGTCCAGGTTCTCGTCCACAAAGAGGCGCACAAACATCTGCGGGAGAGAGGAGCTGTGGGAGGGGCTGGCCCTGGCCGCCGCCCCCTCCCTGCTAGTCCCTGGCTGGTGCTCACGTTGAAGGCCTTGAGGCGCTCAGGGTCCATGCCCTCAGAGTCGTTCATCTTGTCGTTGTCCTCGTGGTCATCGTGGTCATCGTCGTCGTCGTCTGCTGTGGGAGCCCGGCCCACAGTCAGGTCTTCAGGGCAGCCACTGACCTCGGTCTTGATGGAATCGTAGCTCCCCGAGCTGTAGGGGGGGGACTGAGAGAGGGCGGGGGTGGGGGGCGGTGGTCAGGCCCGGCCTTCCCGTGGTCTGACATAGGCCACAGTGAGCTGTGGAGCTGGGATGGCAAGCACAGTCACTGCCATGTGAGCTGCAGCTGCGAAGTCCTGAGCAAGTCACCTTCCATCCCCACTCCTTTCATCTGCCACCCCCTCCCTGGGTGGCTGTGCAAAGGCCTGCCTACAGCAGTTCCCGCAGGGCCTGGTGCCCTGCAGGCTCAGCGTGGAGGGTGCGGTGGTCCTCCAAGCCGTGGTGGCCGTACTGTGACCTGGCGTGGGGCAAAGGCAGACGGAGGAGGGGCTCCCACCGACAGCCAGCCTCTTCTGGTTATGCCGAGACCTGTTCTGGCTTCGAGGTTTCCTCCTCTGACCCCCAAGGGGCTGCAGCCCCGAGCTGACAACCGAGCTGGCACGAAAGCAGCCGGCGTGCTGTCTGTTGGGGAGGGGGCCAGACGAGGCGACAGGCCCATTCGGCAAAGTGCACTCCCCAAGCTCCCGGGCTGGGGTTCTCCTGTCTGCCACCATCCCCAGGAAGACACCCTGAGCCCCGACAGAGTGTGAGTACACGAGGCAGGGGACCAGGGCCAGCCCGAGGGGCATTCGCCCTGCCCTACAGTAGAGAAGGCACCCAGCCCTCTACTCCCATCTGGAATGCCCTCCCCATTCTCCTCCCAGCCTTCATCTTTTTACCCTCTGTGGCTCAGCTGACGACCACTATCATTTGCCTTTTAGAAACTTTGCGTCTTTGGTGAGTCCTGACTTCACTCACTGATTAGCAGTGTCCTGGGAACACAGTCCCTGTCCTCAAGGAGGTGGGCATCTAGCTGGTAGTTGGGCCCAGGGAACACAGCTGCGGCCCAGCAGGGAACGTCTTGTTGACGAACAAACGGGAGAGAATGCACACTGACCGGTGTGCAGGCCCATAGCAGCCGCCACCAGCAGGCCTCCCTGTAACCACTGCCGCAGGGGTTAGCCTCCCCAGGGACAGGGACTCCAGGTCCTCTGGCCTCCTGCTGGCTTTTGCCAGACCTGCCACAGAGAGTCAGAAGACCTGTGCCAGTCAGTCCTGTGCAGCTCCCTAGCCCGCCCTCTGCCCCTGCTGGAGGAGACAGGGAAGCTGCTGGTGGCAGGCCGCCCTCATCTGTTTCCTGGGCCCACACACGTGGCCGCTGTGCTCACCGGGAACAGCAGCTCGCTTGCTCCTGGACCCAGTACCTGCTCCACAGCCAGAGCTTGGACACTCAGCAACAACTGGACACCCAGCCCTTTGTACAGAATTTCCCCATGAGACTCGCCACCCCCTGCAGAAGAGACAACAAGCCCCGGGGAGGGAGGAACCTGTGCGGGGCTATGTGGCTAGCACCCCACGCACATGGGGCTCAGAGATGGCACCTGTGGCCCTGGAAGGGGACAGTGCTCCCAGGAGAGCTCACACACTGCGCCACTGCAGAAAACCTTGGGGCCCAGAGGCGGCTTGCAGAAGTATGGGGGGAGTGCTAAATGGTGGGAGCACCTGCCCTGCCCACCCTCCATCGGGCTGGTCTATTGAGTTTCATACATCTGCATCCCTTGGGCCACAAACAAAGGCCTTGCCCTTCTCCTGTGCCATCTGTGAAATCGGGGATGGGCCTGCAGAGCAGCCAGGAAACGGGAGGCCTTAGGGCTCGTGCTGGATGTGGCCACTTGCTGCTGTTACAGCACTCTGTCCTGGAGGAAGGGGACATACCACCCATCACCCACCACCTCCTCCAAGGCAGGGGCCATCAACCCCACTACAGAGATGGGGACACAGGCTCAGAGAATGAGGGACTTGCTGAGATCACTCAGTGTGCTCTCCCGTCCCAGGGCCTCCCCATGAAATGGACGGCAGAGCAGCCCTGGCCACCACCCTGACCCGGCATCAACTCCTGGCACACCCAAGGCATCCAGGCTCAGGCGGGCCCACAGCCTCACACACCTCAGGGGTGGTCTTCACCCCGTACTTGACACGGCTCCGCAGTCCATCTGTGCTGCAGCCGTCGGAGGGGTAGGAGGGTGTGCCGAGCACCGTGCCTGGCGGGAGCTTGTCGCACAGGTTGATGGGCTGATCCTCTGCTGTAGCCGTAAAGTCCATGGGGGCCACAGCGCCGTTGCCATTCATCTCGGGGAAGGCGGGGTCGCCCTGCGTGCTGCTGGATGTGGATGGGTTCAGGGTGGAGGAGCCATTGCCGCTGCCACTCTCAGAGGAGGAATCGTCTGAAATCACAAGAGGCCTGGGTATGAGGCCCCACCCCAGCACCTACTGCCCCCTAAGACACCTCCCCCAAGGGTATCATGGGCAAGAGAGTCCCAGGGAGGATGTGCCCTGTGTTGTCCTCACAAACATCCTTGGGCAGGCGGTGAGCACTGCTGTGCCTGTTACATACCCGAGGGGCTAGCCTTGCTGGAGGTGGGGGCAGAGTCCCCCAGCCACAGACGTGGGCCATCAGGACCAGAGTGGCCATCCGTGTGCAAGGTGTGGTGGTCCTGCCTTCCACACCCATAAATGCCACAGCCAAATACACGGGAGGCCCAGCTCCAAGGGTGTTGGCGTGAGTGGCGGCGACCCCAGGTCTTTCTGGCCTGATACTTGCCGGGGGTCCTGGACATCCCAGACACTGCTTGGGTTCTGGCCAGTGCCCCCTTCTTCCTCCGGCTCACCACTACCTTGTCCCTTCACACCTTTCCCCACAGGACCTCCTCCTCACAAGGGGCCTTGAGTTTTTCTTCCCCCTTCCTGAGGAGGTAGGAATGGCTCCACCGTGACCCTGCCGGTTACCCACTCCCGCCTGTAAGCAGGCCCCGCCCAATTCTGGTTGTCTTGGCACACGGACACCCCCCCCCCCCAGACCTGCCCTCTGTGCATGGCCCTGTAACCCTGGACACAGGAGACAGGGCTGCAGGATATGTGGTCTTCGCGCCCTGCAACCTCAAAGGGCCATTCCTGCTTTCAAGAGGCAACAGCCCAACAAAGTTCTGCCGAGGGCGCCCCCTGCTGCGGAGAGCGCAGCATTGCCTAGGGATCCGGAAGGACAAACTAACTGTTGGGCTAGACACTTTCAGATAAATTCCAGATCCATCTTCCCCACTCAGCTCCAGCCTCCTGCGTGATCTGATGAGACAAGAGGCCGAAGTTCCCGGGTCACTGTCAGATAAGTACTCTGTGGGTGCCCGTGGTGCCCTGGTGCACAGGTGGCTCTGCACTTGCACCCAAAGCAGCTGGGGGAGAAGCGGCCACAGTGAGCCCTGACGGCATCCCAGGCCACCCCTTCCCCCAGGCCAGGGTCGCAAAGGACCCCACCCCCACCCTCCCAGCCGGTAGATTATGAAGATTTAGTCCCCAGTGCTGGGCGCTGGGCACGAGCGCCTCCAGAGCGTCCCCATGGCGACCGAGCGGCTCTAGAGCCTCAACCAATCGCTGGCCTCCCGGCTGCCCGGGGGCGGGGCCGAGATGCCCATCAAGCGGTCGGGGCCCTGGGCAGAGGGGGATGGGAAAGGTCCAAGGCGCAGTGGCACCCCTCCCCCTCGGCTACCGCAGGTCCCCTGGGCCAAGCTGCCAGCCCTCCTCCGCACCACCACAGCTCCCTTCATCCTTCAGGGCAGCTACGGCCTCCGCTCAAAGCCGCCCCGCCGCCCCACCACCCCGCATTCAGCTACACCCCAGTCCTCAGGCCCTCAGTCCTGCTACCTCCTCTGTGACCTCACCACCTATCCCCTGCTCCTCCATCACAGATGGGTCAGCCTGGTTTTCTTCTGGCAGCGCTTCCAGCACCAACCTAGGCGTGTGTGGAATGAACAAAGCACCCAGCAATATTTACTGAGCATCTACTGCATGCTGGCCCTGTACCCCTGGGAAACAAAGTAGTGGTTATGACCAAGGTGCAGGCCCTCTCGGGGTTGGGGGAGGGACAAATGTGAATACAGGAACCACATAAAGTGGGTAAATGGGCCACCAACCACCCTTTGACTTTCAGACCACACCCATCCCATCCAGTGGCCTTGGCTGCTCCCCTCCTCAGCACCGGCTTCTCTCTACTACACACGTCTCCACCCGCCTGTTTTCCAGCGCCGCGTCATCACCACCGCGTTTAGTAAGCTGCCTGTTGCCCCCAGCCTGCTGAAGAGTCCAAGTTCCCACCCAGTGTATTCTTGGTCCCATGGCCTCAGCAGCCTTTCCCAGCCCAGGTCCCAATGTACTGGTCACTGCTGGACCTCACATTTCCAAGACCTCTGTTTGGGAGCTGCTGCCCGCCTGCCATGCTGCTTCCAGTTCAGTCAACCTTCAGGTCTGGCTCAAAGCTGCCCCCCTCCTTCCTCCCTTCCTGGGAAGGAAGCGCTCAGGCCCTGACCCCTGCCTAGTGGCACCTTGGGCCTCCTTTGCCTCCTTCACATGGCCGGGCACTGGTCCTGAGAGCTGCCACCCTCCTCCTGCCAGGGCAGGGCCTGCTGCTGGAGAGGCCCCCTGCCCAGCAGGACGGGGCGGGGGGGGGGGCCCTCTGGCAGGTGCCTATTATAAGCCCACCTTGCAGGTCACTTCACAACCTGGCACCAGCCCTGACAAGCCACTTGCCTGATGTGGGAGGGCACTGTCCTTCTCCTCTGGAAGGAGAGGGTTGCTAAAAGGGTCAGCAGGTACCACAGTGACATGTCACCTCACTCAGCACGAGGAGGAAGAGACCTGTGCCCCCCCCACCGCCCGCAGTGCCACACCCTGTTTGGGCCCAGAGGCAGCGCCCCATCCACCTGCCTCTGGGCCCAGGTTTCCTCCTGGGAGTATGTGCCCCTTTGCCCTGTGCTCCCTCAGGCTGGAGTGAGCTGGACACTCAGGTGCTGTGAGGACGCACGGGCAGGCACTCCTGGCTCAGAAGCCCAGGGTGGCGGCCCAGACTGCTGAGCTGCCAATGCCCCCGGGCTGCCCAGCTGGGCAGCCATAGGTGCTGGCGCACACACCTCCCCCCACCCCACTACTCCGACGTCACCCCAGTAGGTCAGGAAAGGGGCAGGGGCAGATGGGACCAGAGAGGCGCCAGGAGCCCAGACCTCGTGTGGCCAACCTGAGAGGTGCCAGGAGCCCAGACCTCGTGTGGCCATGTGTGCCAAGCTTTTAGAAGAAACTAGGAATCTGCAACAGTATGTATGCCCCCAGATTTTAAAATGCTGGTGACTAACACACAATGTTTACATTTTGAAAACTTTGCCAGATAAATGGATAAACAAAATATGGTCTAGCTGTACAGAATATTATTTAGCCATAAAAAAGGAACGAAATTCCAACACATGCTATCCAATATGGATGAACTTTGAAAACATGATGTTCAATAAAACAAGCCAGACGCAACCAGGCATACTAAATGAGTCGGCTCACATACAACGTCCGGGACAGTCATGTTCATAGTGACGAACATACGTTAGTGGTCACCTGGGCCTGGAGGGGGGTTGGGAGGAGTGGAAGTTACTGCTTAATGGACACAGCTTCTGTTCAGAGTGACGCCAACTCTTCGGTCATCTATAGGTTCTTGGAAGTTAGGACTTTAAGTGAAACAATGTATAAGAAAACAGATTCGAAATAACATAAGAAAACTGATTTGACCAGAGTCTAACTGATATGAGTGAGTGTTAAGTTCCTATGGCATATTTCTCGTCACTAAAAAGTCACCAAACTTCTCATTAAAGACCCAAAAGACTTCTAATATTAAACCCTCAAATACATGTGAGCTATACATACATTCAAGAATAAAAACGAGATAGTGATTTTGCAAACGGCTTATTCCGGTGTGGGGTTGAGAATGGCCAGAGCACAGCCACACCGACAGTGGCCCCGACCAGGATCGATTTTTTCCTACTGTTAGGAAATGACCCTGAACAAAACAATGGACGTTATTCGAAGACCTGCTGTATTTTGGTTCCAAGGGAACACTTTTTACACGTTTCACCACAAAAAATCCCAGCAGAATGAACAAAAGAAATCTTGAGCAGGCCAGTGGGCCCCGGTTCACAAGCTCCAGTTTCTCCCACCCCCCTCACCCAAAGGCCAAGTGTCTCCCACCTCCACACAGCCCCTGGTGGCAGGGAGAGCCAGCCACCCAGTCGCCAGAGGGACAAGACAGTCACGAGAGCTGGTGCTTCCAAACACGCTGCCCGGCCCCTCCAACCTACGCGCCTGCGCAGCCCACCCAGCGTCATCTCGCGCTTCAGTTTCCTTCCAGACGGGAGTCGTGTCAGTGAAGCAGGATTTGTAAGGTGTGTGTGAGGTATGGACAGTGGCACTGAAAAGAAAAAAGCTGGCTCCCTACACCTCACTTTCTCACTCCACAATAGCCCCACTTGCTACGCGTCCATCTTCCCCAGACTAGGAGGGGGCTTCTGAGGGTCCCTCAGAACCGGTGCCAAATTTGAGGCGGGTGTGGGGAGGGGAAGAGGGAGAGGGCAGCACTGGGGACACAGTGGTGAAAAGACAGGGGCGGCCACCCTCCTGGGGACTCATGTTCCACTAAGAAACCCAACATAAGGACCCTAAAGGGGACTGGGCTGCAAAGAAATGTTGAGAGTTTTGATGCACCTGGAACCCCAGCTGTGGGCCTCTGTACCCGCCGTCCCCTCTCCTCACGACGCTGTCCCCAGCTATTGCTCTCTCAGCACACTCCTCCCCTCCAGGGCGCTGCTGAAGGGTTACCCTCTCAGCGAGACCTCCTTGCCTCGCCCCTGCGCCCACTCTGACATGCTGACCCCCTTACCTATTCTTTCCAGAGCGCTCATCACCTGCCTACATACTGTGTCTACGGTCAGACCCCCCCAGGGTGGCAGGGCTGTACCGGTGGGCCCGGGTCACCCCAGCCTCTCAGGGAAACCCCGCCCCTCCATCTGGTGAGGGACCCCTCCTCTTCCAGAGCGAGCACGTGCCCCAGGCCTGGCCACTCGGCACAGCCCAGCATGGTGACTGGCGAAAGGCCAGTCTTGACCCAGGAGGTCAGTGCTGGGCCTTCTCCTAAAATGCCTGGGAAGCAGTGCTCCCCTCAGGGCTGCACCCAGTCGGCCCTCACCTGGAAGGCAGGGCGGGCGGGCGGGCGGGCGGGCATGGGCAAGTCCCCAAGCCCACTGTGCCCAAAGCAAAAGGCCCTGGACTTTTCAGTTACGGGACCCAATTATTTCCTTACGGCTGGAGCTCGGGGAAGGCGGGTTTGTGTCACGGGGAGTCTGGTTTGGCCTCTGAGCAATTC